TCGGAACTCACCACCGCCGACGGTCGTTCCCTGACGGCAGCTTCTCTTGCTGGCCAACCCTCTGGACACTTCGCGACCAGCTACAATTGGCCCCGTGCCCGACGCCCTGGCCCCTCTCATTGGGACCTATGGCGACGCGTCCTCTCCCAAGCCGTTCTCCGCCCCTAGTTAAATCCAATTTGGGTTTCAAACCATCCCAGTCTGGCTCATTTAATTCTTTGATGGAAGATATCATAATCTGGGGATATTCCAATCCCTCCATTCCAATTCGTTCAATGAGGCTCCGTGTTACATCAGCATAAGGAAAATCTGGGTCGCTCGGATGATACTTGGGCGATCGTTTTTCTTTCTTTCTTGTGTTCTGTGAATTGCCACTCGTCTGGCAATTTCCACCAAATCGATTGCAACCGCGACCTCCTTTTGTACTTTGGTTGCGGCGCGTCATTTCTCTTTTATAAACAGTCTCACTATCGATTGAGTGTCAGATGGACCTGCTCTACAGACCTGAATGGGAGCCTCAACGCTCTGTCTGTTTCAATGAGCAGTCCCTGAGATCGAATCTACGTCGGCTATGGTTTGCCTTTGGGCACCAGCGACTCTGGGCCTCAGCCTCTGGAATAAGCAATAGTCTTATTCAATCAAAGGTCTTACTTTATGTGCTATACTTGCTTGGACCTCAATGTCCACAATACTATTCTTGCCAGAACTCAATCGATAGTGAGACTCTTGATTGAAGTTCAGGATCATATTACAAATTCTCACGATTCTCGTTCTTGATCACCTTTCTACGTGTTGACTCGTTTGGACATACTGCGTTTCATACTTCCGCGTGACGTCACATAGACCATTGATCAATAATCGACCAATATGATTGCTCAGTATATCAATACCTCCAACAATTGGGCTCTCGGTAGACATACTGACACACAGATGCCTTCACTCCTCCGCTAGCTGCGACTCCAGTCACTACTGGAAATCAACCCTCTAGCTCTCTTTGAATCTCATTAGCTTTCTTAGAGATTCGATGCAGTAACTCTTTCCAAGTAGTTTCAAGTAGTGATAATCTCACAATTTTATTGACTTGATTATTTATCAACCAACGTTGCATATAACTACCTTTTTTGAATCAAAGCCCAATCCAGAGGCCTAGCTCCTATTGAGCCGTCTCAGGATTTTAACATGCTCCCTTTGCACCAATAAAGGGCCCATTGCATGGTACAAAGTACTCAAAATGGTCCAGTGAATCAAGATCTGCACATCCCTCCTTGGCATCAAAGCAACAAGAACATGGCTGACAATCCTCCTCTGACAGAATATTATTATTCGTGGGGAACGCTCCGGATTACACTAGAAGATAAGAATATCAATTCAAGGTATACAAAACACAATGCGATGAGTCAATCAGGAATTAATGAACAGTTGATGCGCTTGAGGCGCAAAGTTCCAACTGTTCTCATCCAACAACATGTCATCATATCTATTTTACTATTAATTACTAAAAGACCCATAAGACCACTAACATACGAATCGTATTGGTCCGCATCACAAAACCCATTCTTGATACAATTCTGTCACCACCCAAATGGGTGAGTGAGTGAGGACCTAATCCTCCTCAGCTGTGTCATCTACTCAGAAAAGTGGTGTACGTAGCTGTGGCCATATTTGCTGATATCTTTTGCTAAGGATATTGGCCGGGTGTTTAGCACCTTCGATGTGTAGAAAGGAGAGCGTATTGGATGCAATAGCCTCTCTAACATGTCGGAACAACAGTACAATATGTCGCTTGTGCGGTTTTGTATTAGGTCTTGATGGGTTGTTGGTAACAGTCTCAGTAGTCTTGGTTCCATCAATATGAGGCAAAGAAAACCTTTTCAGGTGAAAAACTTTGTTCACATGATGTAATGGCAACAAGGTATGCCATATGTGTAGTTGGTACAATGCCGTCTTGTACTGTTTAATTATATGCTGAGGCAAGCCATCAAGGAGTGGCTTGTTGCCTTTGAGCATTGGTTGCAGACCAGTTATCTGCTCCCCATGAATCTGAGCAACAATATGGTCAGAATCCATTTGGTCTTCAGTTGAAGTGGTCGATTGCTTCATGTAGAAAGCGTTGGTAGATAGACAAGTTGCTAAGTGGATAATTTTTACCATTTCAGTCTTAGCTAGTAGTCTTTGTTCAAATTGCTTCTGTCCAATTGACAAAGTTGTCCAGTCATCAATGTATGGCCAATGGAGGAAGTTCCTCACTACCAGTGTACAGTGACAAAGATCTATACCATTGATTGTGGCCATACTAGTGAGCCCATGCGTGACTGTATCGTCGCTTGAGCTTATTGTAGTTGTGTCATTGAAGTGAAGACTTTGGTAAGCTCCGCTACAAGCACATTGGTGGTATAGGCCTGGAGACTGCTCAATGATACTGTCATTGTAGCTTGGCAATTCAGTGCCATGGCGTGTGCTGCATCTGTGCTTTCCAGCAAGTAGGAAGCTGCGGAATTGCAGGGCTTGGATTTGGTGACCAGCTCTAGAAGTGGATAATTGGAAGGCACCAATACTGTAGTATCTATAGTAGTTATCATAGCTAGTTGAGTTGAGTCTATAAAATTCAGAAATCAAAAATCAAAAACTAAAAGGTAGAAAATATTCTTCCACACGCTTCTCCAAAACAAAACTGTACCAGTCCTACGCGTTTCGTACGTAAAGGAAAACAGTTGTTGTTGTTGAAACAGGAATTAAATTTAAGCCAACATGAAGGATAGCATCACCAACCCGCCGGAGAAGGACCCGAATTCGATCATGACTGTAGCTGACCAAGGTCAGGGAGGTCTCGCGGAAAAAACCCGATCAAATTCGACCACTCAATCGTCGATTGCTCTTACCAAGGACAACCCTGCCATCACAACTTCCCAGCGCCGCAGCAAGCGATACCCTTCAAAACCCGCCGAGGATGGCGCAATGAAAGGCCGTTTGCTCTTCCCATCTGACGTTGCCCAAGGCCAGGATGGCTCCATGGCCAAAGCTCGATCGAACTCTACCACTCCTTTGTCGACCGATTTCATCGAGGATAATCCTGACACCTTGCTTTCCACGAGCCAACGCAAGCAAACCCCTCCTTCCAAAACCGCCAAGGATGGCGCAGTGCAAGGACGACCGCTTGTCGCGTACACCAAGAAACTCAAGGTGTCCAAGTTCCACCGGCTCTACAAGAAGGCTTGGAGGCAGGAGGTTTTTGGGAACCAAGCATTTATCACCTGGTCCTCTCGCACTGCGGAACACTTTGGTCAGGCAATATCCAAATGCCCCGGCTGGTGGGCTGAAGCCAGTACGGACCAAGCCGATGCTCATTCTTACGACGAGATCGCTGCGTTAATCCTGTCTGGCTTGACGGTGTACGACCCATCACTTGGTGGTTCTATGCCACAGCTTCGGTCCAGCATGCAGAATCTGTTTTCTCTTGGCGACCTCGAAGACGCCGACGATGACGAAGCTTCCTGGTCTCTTCGCGAGTACTTTCTTCGCCTCGCGACACAGTGCCCCACGGTTGTTAGAATGAAGCAAAATGTGCTCTATCGTGAGTGCCTTTAGCGCTCAGAACAAACTCTCTGCAATCTAAATTCGTAATCGACTGTACAACACTTTCACGACAATAGTTCTCCTGTGTCTAGGTATACTTTGAGTG